AGGCTGGCCTAAACTCAGAGATCCCACCTGGCTCTGCCTCCTGAGTCCTGAGATTTAAAGGCCTGTGGCACCATGCCCAGTCTTTGCTTTGTTTTGAGACAGGGACTTGTTATGTAACCTTGGTTGGCTTGGTACTCACTATGTAGCCCAGGCTATCCTCAAACTCACAGCAGTCCTCCTGCCTCTGTTTCCCAATGCTGGAGTTAAAGGTGTACATTACCATGTGGCACTATTGGTTTTTTAAAAAACAGATTCCAAGTGGATGGTATTTTCTCCTATTAAGGTCATTGGCACATCCCCAGTGGCCAAATCACATTGTAGGTGCTCAACAGAGTCTCACTATGCTAACCTCAAATTCTCAATCCTCTTACCTCAGCCCTCTGAGTCCTGAGATGGCCAGTGTAATACCATCCTAACTGGCTGGATCCATCATCCTCACTATTGTTCTTAATATGTTCTACAGGCTGGACTTGAGCTCTGGGGGGAGGGCGGGGGACACGACACAGGAATTAATCCCAATCCTTAGGGATTTCTAGACGAGTCATGTCAAAATGATCAGCAGTGATGTTGGGATCAAGTGTACAGGAAAGGAAACCCCAGGGAGGCAGGTGGTTTGGCTAATGGGGAGCTTGCCAGGTGACTGCTCTGGGGCAAGCAGAACAACAGAGGTGTGGCGTGGGTGCCTCTGGAAAGCAGTGGTACTGCCTGGGGCATGGGAGAATGATAGGCACTGAGAGATGAAGCTGACACAGGACCACACCATCCCAGGCTCTGGATGCAGAGCTAAGGCAAGCCTTATCATTAGCCCCAAATTCTAAACAAATGTGCCGTGCCAGGGCCATGTCTAGCTGTGGTATAAGCATAGCATCTCTCCCCTGAGTGCCCACCTAGCAATTCTGAAAATCATTAATATTTTTTTAGTCAGGCAGTAGTGGCACACATCTTTAACCCCAGCACTCGGGAGGCAGAGGCAGGCAGCTCCTAATGCTGGAGTTACAGGTGTACATTAGCATGTGGCACTATTGGTTTTTTTAAAAACAGATTCCAAGTGGATGGTATTTTCTCCTATTAAGATCATTAGCACATCCCCAGTGGCCAGATCACATTGTAGGTGCTCAACAGAGTCTCACTATGCTAACCTCAAATTCTCAATCCTCTTACCTCAGCCCTCTGAGTCCTGAGATGGCCAGTGTAATACCATCCTAACTGGCTGGATCCATCATCCTCACTATTGTTCTTAATATGTTCTACAGGCTGGACTTGAGCTCTGGGGGGAGGGCGGGGGGACACGACACAGGAATTAATCCCAATCCTTAGGGATTTCTAGACCAGTCATGTCAAAATGATCAGCAGTGATGCTGGGATCAAGTGTACAGGAAAGGAAACCCCAGGGAGGCAGGTAGGTGGTTTGGCTAATGGGGAGCTTGCCAGGTGACTGCTCTGGGGCAAGCAGAACAACAGAGGTGTGGCGTGGGTGCCTCTGGAAAGCAGTGGTACTGCCTGGGGCATGGGAGAATGATAGGCACTGAGAGATGAAGCTGACACAGGACCACACCATCCCAGGCTCTGGATGCAGAGCTAAGGCAAGCCTTATCATTAGCCCCAAATTCTAAACAAATGTGCCGTGCCAGGGCCATGTCTAGCTGTGGTATAAGCATAGCATCTCTCCCCTGAGTGCCCACCTAGAAATTCTGAAAATCATTAATATTTTTTTAGTCAGGCAGTAGTGGCACACATCTTTAACCCCAGCACTCGGGAGGCAGAGGCAGGCAGATCTCTGTGAGTTCAAGGCCAGCCTGGTCTACAAAGATACACAAAGAAACGCTGTCTCAAAAAATAAAATAACAATAACAATAGTAATAATTTTTTGAGACTAAGTCTCATGTACCCCAGGCTGACCTCAAACTCCATGTATAGCAAAGGATGACCTTGAACTCCTGATCCTTCTGCCTATTCTTCCCCAGTGCTGGGACGAAAAATAAAATAACAATAATAATAGTAATAATTTTTGAGACTAAGTCTCATGTACCCCAGGCTGACCTCAAACTCCATGTATAGCAAAGGATGACCTTGAACTCCTGATCCTTCTGCCTATTCTTCCCCAGTGCTGGGATTACAGGTGGTTGCACCAACACAGTTTATGCAGTGCTGGGACGAAAGCCAAGCTTCACACAAGCAAACAAAGTTCTCTGCCCTTCATAATTTTTGTTTGTTTTTTGAGACAGGATTTCTCTGTGTAGCCTTGGCTATCCTGGAACTTGCTCTGTAGATCCGCCTGCCTCTGCCTCCCAAATGCTGGGATTAAAG